GAGTGGGAAAAGATGCAGGAACTTTGAAGGCGGCAATGATTGTGCACAGTTTATATAAATTTAGACACCCAACAACGAAATAGAAGTGGTCGCAATTGGCGTGTAGACGAACCTTTTAGCACTCTGTTTAAAATTTTATGTAACAAAATTACCGATTAAATTTAATAACTTTACAGAGCGAAAGTAAAACACGTCTGCTCACGTCTGATGATTAGGTGGTCTTGTATTTTTGGTTCTTGAGTACATCCAGTAAAAATTTCACTAGCAGAAATTAGCAGGAGAGCCAAAAAAATAAGAGCGTAAGAACGAGAGAGAGCTCCTAGTTTGTGCTAGTTTTTTGGGTAGTTAACCGCAGAACACCACAGGCAAACACCGATGGCCTGCCAACTGTCATTTTGACGAGCAATGTGATTGCAAGTTTTTGTGTGTGGGCACTTTGATGTCTTGAAATAAGCATTTGCCGCATGACGCCACCAGACAACATTCTCTCAATTTCGGTGTTTAAAAACATTTAAATCTTTAAAAAAAACTTGCTGAATAATTTCCTAAAACGTAATCATAAATAATCCAATAGAGAACAGATTTTCATTTTGATTTAATATCAAATTTTCATCGATTTTACCACCACAGTATAGACAGTAACCAACCTTTTTGGTTTGTTGTTGTAGTAGTCGTTGTTGTTGTAGTTATATTCACTCCTGAGGAAGGCACGGGGTTGTGTGCTGCTAATTAATTGCCTTCCTCAGACTTTTTCTTAGATTCCGGGTTGTGTGCTGCATTATTATTAGATAAATAAATTTAAGCATTTGACAAATCGTGATTTCATAAAAAGAAAATTATAAATGGTGTTGAAAAACCAAACAAACGCTCGTGCGAAAGCTCTATTTTTGCGTGTTGGTCGTATTTATACATGGCGTATTGATGGTAATACAAGCAATGTATTCTTTTGTGGATTTTATGTTACTTGAGAATTTAGACAACGTGCTAGTTGCCAGGTTCTGTTATCAATATAATTAACACAAGCTTTTCCGCGTGGTTGCCTTTCAATAAATAGAATAAACAAATATTCGCAAATAAATTGGATTTACTTTATAACTGACAACTAACGTACGCTTTTTGTTCTTTTCTCCATTTTGATTTTGACTCTTTATAACCGCCAACAACTTTATGTGTATACATATTTACAAGCTGTCAAAATTATGCGTAGTCCAACGAGCTAGGTAAAAACTAAGGCATTCGTATTCACAACGAGAAATCTCAAAATTCTTGTTTGGTATTTCCAAGTTTTCTCTTTTTTATTAGTTGGCAAGGCCCTCAGTGGCAGCGCTCCGAGCGTTGAGATAGTAATTTCATGTCAATTAGTAGAAAAGTTCCATGTTGAAAAAACTTTTTATTATGGCGAGAAAATTTTACATTTCTGCTGTGCCAATTCGTAACTTTTTACTGCTGGAAATTTTTGACAGTTGCTCTGGTGCAAAAGAAGTTGAGCAATTAAAATCAGAAATTATACAAAAAAGACTTGTCTTTACTGGCTTTTATTCTTCTAGAACTAAAAGCCATGCATTTATTAGACGCCTTAGTAATAAAATTAGAACGAAAAATTCTTCAAAGCCGTCAGGCCGGGTTGAAAAATTTCATTCACCTCATAGTTAACAAAAATTTACAATCCGTAGTACTTTTCTATCAATTCGCAAATGCCGTTTGCACAAAAAAGGTTATAAAATGCGTTTTATTTAAATCGTTTAGAAAATGAGTCATTTATGTATACCATTCTATGTGGAATTATTCAATAAATTTCGTTTTACACTATACTTTTTGAAACTATTTGGAGTTAGTTATTTTTGCTTCTTAAAAGCAACCCTGCGTGCTTGGAAGGCGTGTGTACCAATAATTTCAGCCCTAGCATATTCATCCACGAGGAAGGCAGTCGCCAAATTCACCGAAGGTTGTTTACTGGATATATTGTGGTTACCACCAGCACGCTTTCTTTCAAATGAAAATATGGCTACATGGTATAGATGTCAAGCAATAAGCGCTGACATATCATGAACCAAAAATACAAGATCACGCAAGAACGCGACGTTGTATTTGTAACTGGTTTTGAGAAAAAAGTTTGCGAAAGCGGGTTCGTCAGCTGAGCGTTTGTTTACATCACAAGCACCACTATTTTACACTTTTATTAAAGTAAAGAATAGTTAATTCAACATGACAACACATTTTAAAGCATTTTGTTGCATCATTTTACCTAAATTGTGCGTTTAAAGTGGCTGACAATAATTTTGGCTAATTTTGGTTTTCGTTGTTTTCTTTGCTTTGTTTAGTTTTCGCTCGTTTTCCAGTGAAACAAGATGGCGTAGAACCCGCTAAAAAAATCGACTTTTTTCACTCTCTTGTTCTTACGTGATCTTGTGTCTTTCGTTCATGCTGACATATATTGCAGCCCATGAGAAATAGGCGGTCTCCATTGGAAATATATTTTGTGACATGGTTATCACGACATCAGTGTTTTCCTGTGGAGACAGGGCCTAAGAAACGCTTTCCAGCAGAAATTAGTGAGAATTTGTGATAATTATCTGTTAAGAAACAAAGCTAATAATTTTTGTGGCTGCGTTTCTTTATACATTCCGGATAATCCCATTTCACAGCCGGAATAAACAGAATGCGTTTGAAATATACGTCAACATATCATCAGGAACGTTCTAAAGAATAAATAAACAAAAAAGTTTATTCCAAACGTTCAGAATGAATAAAGAAATGCAGCCTGTATGTTGTTAAAATTTGTGTTACTAGGTGCATTCCTTATCTTTTTGGACTAAAATCTGAAAAGTGTCAAAATGCCAGAGCGTAAGCAAAATGCGCTCACTAAAAGAGAATAACAGGAAAAGTAAAGGAACGCAAAAAACCCAATTTTTAGTCCAAAGAATGGCAACAACAAAACTAACGTCAAATAAGAACAGAAATGTATGTACATAACACATTCACACAAGCACAAGCACAATAAACACTTTCTATATCAATTATTTTTTGCCTCCTTCCAATTTCAATTCATTTCTTTTACTTTTTAGATTATTCTCACTTTTAGCGTATTCTTTAATTTCCGTTAATTTAAATTCAGTTGAGTTTGACACTTTTCAGGATTTTGCCAGAAAAAATTCTTCTGACTAAATCTGACTACTTCGGACTGATGAGAGTCACTCTCACTGACTGTTGCTCTCTCATTTTTGCTGTCATTTCCGAGTTAAGGAACGCTTTTTGGACTAAATCTGTCTACTTCGGACTTTTTCTGACTATTTCTGGGAGATAAGGAACGCTCCTATTATAGGTTCTTTCCCTAACAATCCGGACCGGATCCGGTAATTAGAGAATAAGCGAAAAGTTTGCTCTCAAAAATGGAACATAATCCAGAAGTACGGGAACGCAAAAAAACACATTTCGTGCCCAGAATTTAGGTGCGTTCGTTTAAAATCTCCAGCAGAAACCAACCAACTGCCAAATTCCGGCGAAATGTCATCTGTTCGCTCACAAGAGAGAAATATCCAAAATAGTACGCGAACAGAAAATTTGCAGAAACTTGCAAGTTAGACGAACAGCTGATATAACTTTTGTTTACATTCAAAAGTGTAAAATTTAAAACGTACGAAAAGTTATCACAAAGTGTTATACTGACACAGTTTATTGATTAAACAAATAACTACTTATTTCATACAAGTTTAATTAGTCCCATTTTGTAATTTTTAACTTCCAAACCATCAAATTCAATTTTGTGATTTGCGTAAATGCCAACCAGCTGTTTTTGATCAGCTGTTTTCCTGTTGGCAAAAATTTTTCCAGCAGAAACCAACAGCTTCCCCTCAAAATGAAATGTCTGTTTGCTCTCTCAATTTCCCCTACTTTGCAAGTTTTTTGCGTACGCGAACGCAAAAACTTGTAAGTTTTGGTTAAACATGAACAATTAACAGCTGCGCGAACGAACCTTTTATAAGACAGCTTGTGATGTGCTGAGTTTTCGGTACCCAGTACTTAAAAAAGTTTTCGGTACCCAATACTTCTTTTTCGGTACCCGATACCGATTCTTTACATTAAACCTTCGCCATTATATGCATTTCAAGTTTAGAAAAAACATTAATTGCTAATTTATATGATATCGGCTAAAACACTTGAACTTATCGCAACAGAGAAATATTATTTTAACAGTTTTAATCTTAGTTGATCCAAGGTTCAAGAAAAATGCTTTTACAGAGAAGAAGCCTTTCAGGGGGGAGATTCTGTAACCAGTTAGCGACAAGTTTCGGATCAATATCGCACTTGTTGACGTAAAAATATTTCATATCATACGTCAACAAAACCGATGCCGATTCGAAAATTGTCGCTAATTGGTTACAGAATCTGCCCCCAGGCCTACAAAAATGATATCGTCCGATTCAGTTGAAACAAAAATGCTTCAAACAAGTAACAGGCTAACCTAACATTCGCGGCTTGCGTTTTGGTACGCATGCCGTCGAATTTGGTTTTTTGGGTCACCCGAAATTGACTTGCATGCGTTTGCATTTGATTTCATTGAGCGAAACGTCAAATCAAAATGTCACGTAGAACAAAAATTGGAATTTGAGTTAGCTTCATACGCACGCCGTTCAATTTCGGTTGATCTCATACAAGTTGCATGTGCATGAGAAATTTTTGACAATAAATTGGCGGCGTGCGTGAATATTAGGTTAGCCTGTTAGAGTGTCTCTGCATTATGGCCTCGAACCGACATATATACATATTTTATTTGAATCCGTATTAAAAGCTCTATTGGCTCCTACATTCGGGTTTTTATAGGCGAATCTCCCCTGAACCGTTTTTTCCATATTTTTGACCTATGTGCGCTTTTATTCAAAACCTAAATGTTTCGGTACCGAATATCGATCAATACTTTAAAAGTATTGACTCAGCACATCACTAGAAACAGGGAACATGTAAACACAAAACAGCTGATATGCACTTTGACGCTTTATCCGTTTTTACCCAGAGAAAAAGTGTACTGGAAAGAACCTTATGTGTATGCACGGGGGAGAGAATATAGAGGTGGCGCCCACGGTGGAGAGAATATCTATCATTGTGATGGAGGTAAAGTTAAGAACTAAACTGCAAAGATATCGCACTAAAAAACAGATGGAGGATAAACTTCAACAGTTTAAGAATATTATAAAGCGTTTTTTGATGTTGGGTACAGGGGAATCCAAAACTGTCATCAGCAAATTGACTGTGAGTGTTTTTCACGTGGTATGCATTTCTTATCTATGTATTTATATTTGAACACAAAAATCTAGGAAGTGCGTGAAGCTTTGACCGAATGCAAAGTTCAAAGGTCGAATGCAGAAGAGTATAGAGAGGAATTGACATCCAGCTCAGATGAGGAAACTGATAGAAGCAAAGGCCATAAAGAAAATGTAAATAACTTCTTCAAATATATTCAAAGGGCAGTTTTTACACTATTTTGGATAACGCTTTATGTGATTGCGATACAATTACAATTTGGAATAGTTTATATAATGCTGTCAGCGTTGTTTGGAATCTATTATAACACAAGGACAGCACCAAAAAAACTAAATGAAATTAGTGCTTATAGCGTTTTCAATAAAAACTGCGAAAGTATAGATGGAACTCTAACGGCGGAACAATTTGAACGGGAAATTCGATTTGGAGCCTCAAGTGTTCGATAATTTAGTCAAAAAGGCAGAATTTATAATTAATCACTGTATGCATGCGCAGAAGTTTGTCGAGTACTGGATCCGGCACCGAATCGGCAGAAATCAGCTATTATTGTATAAACCTTTATTTCCCACAAATTACCTTTCAAACACCATTGGAACAAGTAAAGAATACCCATCGTTTCGCTAGAAAAAAAAATTAAAAATAACGAGTCGATAGAGCTTTTTGACTGATTACAACGGTACCAAAATTTACTTGCAGAAATTAAAATTAAGCGAGATATAGGTCAAAGATCGAAATGTGCTTTTTGAAAAACTGTAATATCTCAAACTAGTATAGCGTTTGTAAAAGTTAATATATAGTTTTAAAGGAAATTAAAACACCTTTCTTTTGGTCTGCAGTCCTTGTGCCTTGCATTTCTAATTTATGATAAAAATTGGTTTTTATAAAAAATATATGAAAAAATTCCACTTAAACTGCTTTTTTTCAAAACTAGCTTTATTAAGATAGTGTTGTCGTTCTTTTGGTATAAAGAAAATTAATTTACTTTTCGTTTGAGATGCGTATGTCTATACCCAAGTTCTCGGTGCAAATAAATTTTTTCAATACCCATCCGACTATTCCATTCAAACTATTTCTGCGCAGAGGGTGTATAACATAATCCAGACAATTAGACATAAGCCATAAATTGCTGACCGCCTTTTGTAGAGAACTTAGGGAGTAGAATTCTCCTTCCTGTATTTAGCAAAGAAGAGATGCTGAACACCTTTTGCAGAGCACAAAGGAGCACAACATAATGCTCTGCAAGCTGTTCCTGATCGGGAGCCACAGAAGTGGCCACCCGAACAGACAGCTGCTTGCAGAGGAGCCCTCGCCTAGGCACTTCAGGCGGCATCTATATGAAATGAGGGACGAAGTCCAGAGGTTCAATGAAACGGTTCAAGTGTTCGGTGTGTGCAGACGTGCTTTTATTTCGCTCTGTTATTTTATTATCTTTTCTTTCGTAATGGAGAACTTTTGCGGAAAGTGTACTAAAGCCTTTCCAAGATCTGATGCTAATCTGCTGCCGTGTAATGGGTTTTGTAAAAAAACTTTTCATCGTGTTTGCTGCAAAGGCGTTTCTGAATATGATTTCAATTTGGTAAAAGCTAAACGTAATCTATTATATCTGTGTGATGAGTGTGTTGTCATGCCAGAGAAACTCGTTAAGGCTCTGGATGCAGTTCTGGTAACTCAAAAGCTTAGTATTGATCTTATTTCAAACACTTTTGATGCTAAATTCAAAGATTTATCGAAACAATTTGATGCAATAAAAGATCAAATAATCTCCTTGCATTCGACCAACAACAACTCGAGTGCAAATAACCTTAATGCTCTGAATGCTGACATGATGGCTGCGGAATTCAATGCCAGAAAAACTGCTGCTAATATTTCTTACAACAATAACTACTATTGTTCCTCGCCTGGTGTTTTTGAGTTTTCCGCTGTCCCTCACGCTGGCACAGTTTGTCAGTAAAGTTAACGGTATCTCTCGCGCTTATTTGGATTCTGCTGTGACAATCGCTACAGCTGTCAATACACTTGTAACTAACGATAGCACATACACCTCTGTTACTGCGCCTACAACGCTGTCATCCGTTGCTCTTCAATATACACCTTCTGTCTCTCTTAGCACTGCTTCTACTAGACCATCTTGCTCGTCGTTCGCTGATGCTGTTTTGTTGTCTAATACTAATACTAATATTAATACTAATACTAGTTCGCATGGCTCTAATACTGTGCGTCAAGTTGGTGGCCTCATGGATACAAATACTGTCGCAGATTGCACTGTCAATTTACCTGCTGTTACCACTACCACCACGAAGCCATCAACCCCGTGCTCTGCTAATGCTGTTGTTGCTGCTAATACATCTTTACCCGATATGAGCTACGCTGTTGCTGCCGCTGCTGGCTCTAATTCCATGCAATCGAATGGAAATCGCTCTGTTAGGTCTCCTGCCGGTGCTGTTGCGGAAATCAACACTGATGATTCTTATAATTCTGCTGCTGTTAAATCTTCATCTGTCAGGAAGGATGCTGTTAGTACAATGCCAACCACAAGTGGTACGAATGTTACACATGGCAACATACATGAACGAAGTGCTGATAAATCTGATGATGCTATTGCGGCTGCTAATGAAGATGGTGGCGACTCTGCTGCTGCCCGAAATTTAAGTAGGCCCAAACGCATAAACATTTTTCATGGGCGTAATAATAATACAGATCTCGAGGTGGTCATTAAGAAGAAATTGTTGCACATTTCCTCCTTTAAACCGTCTGTATCTGAAAACCTTATTGCGTATGTATCTACACATGCAAAGATCGATAGTACACACTTTACTTGCTACAAATTAGTAAAGAAAAGAACTCCACTTGAGAGTCTTCGGAGCGTGAACTTTAAGATTGGTGTGATATCTTCCCTCTACAAAAATATCTTAAATCCAAATGTGTGGCCGTCTGATATCATTGTGCGGCCCTTTCGATTTTTTCAACCAGAAGCTAACCAAGGAAGTTCCAAATAGTGTTATATAGTCTAATGCCGAATATACATGCAAAAATCTGAATATATACTTTCAGAATATGGGTGGAATGCGCACAAAAGCTAAAGAAGTCTTTCTTTGTTCTTCACGTATGGATTATGACATATATATCTTTGTGGAAACTTGACTTAATAGTAATTTCTTCAGTGAAGAATACTTTGATCCCAACATTTTCCAGACTTGTAGGAAAGACCGTGATGCTGAGAAAACTGGCCACTTCAAAGGGGGTTGCTTTAAGGCGTAGTTTAAGGTCGACATTTTTTGAATTGCTCAACCACGATACTTTAATTGACCAATTAGGTGTGCGCGTTGTTGGCTCGTTCGGCTTTTTGTTTATCTGTGTATCATATGTCCCACCTAACAGTTCAGATGAGTTATATAACTATGACATAGAGAATATCACACACATCTATGAAAGTAATGGAAATTGTAATCTTTGTATTCTTGGCGATTTCAATCTCCCAGGCATTAACTGGACATGCTTTCAAAACTCGGGGCGCCTTACCCCAACCAACGTTACTCGTTCGCATGAAATAAACTTTATTAATAGTCTTTTTAGCCTTAATCTTACGCAAATTAATTGCATATTCAATAAGTTATCTAAATTATTAGATCTAGTGTTTGTAGACGAAAATTTGATATATAATCTCTCTGAATGTAAGACTCCGATCTGTTATTCTGATATGCATCATAATCCCCTTATTGTTTCTTTAGAGTTTTTTGATAATAATAGGATTTCCTACAATTTTCGGGATGCAAATTATGACGTCATAAACCTGGCTATAAATAACGTAAATTGGTGTGATATCTTCAATTCAAAAGATGTTAATGCCTCTTATGAAACCTTTCTTTGCATTATGTCTGAAGTCTTCTCTGAGCAACTGGCTGCTTTACCCTACAAGCCTCAAATTACCCTGGCACTCTGTCACTCTAAAAAATCTGAAAAATAAGAGAACTAAGGGCCTGTGCCAATTGATAGAAAAGTTCTCTGGATAGTAAATTTTTGACAGCTATGAGGTGAATAAAAATGTTTGATACGGCAGGGCTAGTGAAAAATTTGACAGCAAGCATTATCAAGAAGAAGAACGAACAACGCACGTATACACATAAATTAAAGAAAACAAAAGCGAGTGGAAATAAAAGAACATGGTCCCGCCGGCAAAAAAAATAAAGAAAAGCTATATAACTTGTAAGATTTAATTTCAGATTTACATATGAAAAGGCGTTATGTATTTTTTTAATTAAGAATACTATTTTACAGGGAGCAGTTCAGAACGCAGAATCCTTCTGGAAAAGCGCATTGACAAGGATGTTTGGTTCAGTGAGTAAGAACAATATAAATAATTTGAAGACTTTGTTAAGAAGTTTTTTCTTAGAAAAATCGGGAATGAGCTGAAGGATCGCCTGGACGGTAAAAGTGCTGAAGCATGTAAAGCACAATGGAATGCGTTGATGAACCATCCGTGGCGCTTTTTGGGAATGTGAGTTACAATTTTTCGAAACGAAGCAGAGGACAACCTAAGATGCATTTTTGTAGTCTTGTTATCGCCGTTCATAATGCTGCTTAGTATTTTGGAATAAACGTCTTGTTGCATGTACATAAACGACATATGTTTTTATTGGAAACAATTGTACACGGTTTTAAACATTTTTGTGAACACACTTACCAGACGGTTTTGACGTGTTTTTATTTCTAGTATTACTGCTAAAAGGTCTAATAAATGCATGGATTTCAGTTCCAGAAGAATTGAAATCATCAAAGGCAAATATTTTCTATATAATTGCTGCATTTTATAAATTGCAAACTCGATAGTCTTCTTGTGCATCAAAGCAACTGTCAAAAATTTCCAGCAGTAAAAAGTTACGAATTGGCACAGCAGAAATGTAAAATTTTCTCACCATAGTAAAAAGTTTTTCCACCATAGAACTTTTCTATCAATTGGCACAGGCCCTAAATGCTACAAGCGCCATATGGCAAATATTCACAATACTTATCTCAAAGAGGAATACCTTAACTATGCGAAACAGTTTAATGTTCTTGATAAATTTCTTTATAACCAGTACATTAAGAGACTTGAGTCTTGAACTTAAAGACAACCCAAAAGCTTTTTGGAATTTTGTACGCTCTAAGCGGGGTAGTTCTAATATTCCGACTTGCATGTACTTTAACGGTCAATCCTCGAAATCTCTACCAGATACTGTGGAGATTTTTGCAAAATTTTTCAGCTCGAATTTCGCCTGTGAGAGTGATTCTATAAATCTACCACGAAATTACTGGCCTAGATCTTGGCTCGTTGATTGTCTCGACATCTAACATTACTTACGCCATGTCTACCCTAACTCCGACATTGAAATGTGATTCTGATGGTTTTTGTGCCCACTTCGGTAAACGATGTAGTCTGTCATTATGTATTCCTTTATGTCATATATTCAACATATCACTTTCGACTGGATTATTTATTAACAGATGGAAAATTGCGTCTATAACCCCAGTCTTTAAATCTGGAAATAGAAACGATATCACATATTATAGGCCTATTTCGAAACTGTCTGTCTGCTCAAAGCTATTCGAAAAAGTGATACATTTTAAACTCTCTTTTCTTGCCAAAAGAATGACTGAGCCCCACCAACATGGTTTTGTAGCTGGTCGTTCAACGGTCACTAATTTAGCTTCTTTTTCAGAATTTTGTGTTTCTTCCTTCAAAGATGGCTCGCAGGTAGACACCATTTATACGGACTTTTCTAAAGCCTTCGATAAGGTACCACACCTGTTATTGCTACGCAAGTTGGAGTGCATTGGTGTTTATTCTAATTTCCTAGCTTGGCTAAAGTCTTATCTTACAAATAGGACTCTGTCTATTCATATCGATGATTGTAAATCTAATCTCTTTGTTGTAACATCAGGTGTACCCCAGGGTAGCATTCTTGGCCCCCTATTGTTTGTCCTGTTTATAAACGATATTAGCTCCTGTTTCAAATACGCCAGTTTTTTATTGTATGCCGATGTGTCCCTAGGGACGCTTAGGGTCAAAACATAGTGGAGCGGCGAGCAAAGCTTCAATTACAAATTAGTCTGTTCCTTTGAACTTCGGACTAAAACTTGTGGAACTGTCAAACTACAATTTTACTCTCTCAAATGAGAGTAAAAGGAGAACAGATGCAGAAGTGCATAGGAACGCAAAAAGCACTATTTCCTGTAAAAACGTCAGTCGGTTTGTTTACATGTCATTTGTACAACACTGATTTAGCTGAAATATCACTAAATAATTATTAAAAT